CTTTTCGCTATTTTCTATATCGAGACATTAACTTTACGGACGAATCGTCTTTACGTATCATTCCATTTACCTGTGCCTCGTCACTTGCCATTCTATTTTGCTCGAATGCGGTATTTATTACCCCAGGTATGGGTGCACATTTGTCCATTGGTTTGCCGAAGCAAACTAGTTTTGTATGTGTACATTTCGATATTGAACTGATATAACGTTCTAACCGACAACCAGATGTTGATAAGAACACTCTCAAAGGAGTTACAAGCAACGCTGTGCATCGATGCTGTCCAGCAAATATAGTCCAAAAGTTAATCATTCCGGTTGGTTAACGCAAGATATAAGAAATGAGATAAAGTAGATTAGTAAACTCTGTGGAAGGTATGTAACAACAAAGCAGCCATTGCATTATGAGCAGTCTCCCCGAAAGCGAAATGAGGTAGGATAGCATATCCTCAGGCCGCAGAAGGAGTATAAAACGCGAGTTATTTAACGGGCCATTGATAGGCCAAAATTACTCTTCAGCCGCATTAACAACAGGCCAAAAAACATAGAGGCGGTCTCGGTGTTGAAGGGAGAAGATAATTAGAACATTACTGAAAATGCCGATAAGGCAAAACACCTGAGTGGGGTTTGCGCATTTGTTGTCGCCGACAAAACGGCCAATTTCGAGGCTGCATTGCCTACTGGAACACACGACAAAAACGTTCTTAAAAATTTCTGCTAAAAATGCTCCTCGATCAGCTCGGCTTATTGATGTTACGGCCAATTGCCTGTATTCGTGTGATTTCAACTACAAAATAGCCGATGCTCAATGCTTGTCCTCTCGTAGCAAAAATCTACCCATCTTAGTCAAATTATTTTCATCAGTCGAGGTTGATACAATCGTTGCCCATCGAGATTGTGTCGCTGTGTACCTGGGAAAGGGAAAAATTTTCCTTTGTCATGACCTTACTGCTATGGAGCCTAGAATCGGGTCTCTCTTCTCACGTAAACTCACTGCTTCTCAGTCTAATGCTCACCAACTCGGTCATAATAGAAGTGGCCGTGGGGATTCAGCTGGTCCTACTCCTGCGGCACCTGACTCCTGACTTCCTCTTACTCCTACATCCTCATCTCACTCAGGCCACTTGACGCATTTGCCTGCTCCTAAACTGACAGCAGCAGCCCCATTTGTCGTTTCGTATCCTCCGGATAACCCCCCTGAGACGCATGAAAATCCATCTTCATCAGCTGGACCGATAACTTCCCCTGTCCAACTGGGTGCTGCAAGCTCTACAGTTAAGTCACCCCTGGCTTGGCCTCAGAACGGTGAGACTCCAAAACTGAATCAGACTCCGACCCAAAAGAAAGGTAGTACAGTTCCATTTAGGGGTACGCCGCCTTCTCTTATATCTCCCAAGCCTTTACAGCCCAGCACGTCTACAAATCCTGCAGCTCCAATTATGTCGCAAAGAATTTTCTGTGCTGCATACCGGTTACTTATCAAAGCCCTGCCATATACCCAGCAAATAATTCATACGTTAATTGCTCTAAGTCATTTATGTCCCAACCTTGTTCAGGCTTTCCACCACTTAAGGCCAACTGCTCTCAGGTAAGTCAACCTAACTCCTTTGCTTCCAACGTAGACCTCGTTTCCCACCCTTTTATTATTATAGCTGCCTACCCTCCCCCACTTGCTTTTACTTTCCTCCTAGGCTTCCTTTCCCCCCCTCCTTCACGATTTAACTACCAACAAGTCTATCCATGTTCTAACTCCCCTAGCATTTCAATGTTCGAAAACTATATCCCCACATTCTTTACGCCTCATACTCAGCCTTCTCTTGCTGACTCCCCGTACGTCAATAACTCTAGACTAACTGGTACTTATTATCCAAGCATCATTAATTCGCAGCTTACATATGCGCCACTAAATTTATTTTAAATACCGTCGACAATATCATTGCTGTTCGAAACACATTAGATATCATATTATTGAATGTCAAGTCTGTCATAAACAAGATGGCTCAAATCAGAGCCATTGCTCTCGAAATGACGCCTGATATTATAAGTATAACAGGATCTTGCACCCATTCTCTAATTCCTGACTCTGCCTTTCTCATAGACGACTCCGATTTTTACCGTCAAGACCGCACAACTAGGCGTGGGGCTGGTTGTCTTCTTTATCTTAGATCCTGCGTTAAGCACTGTCCCTATTACTTGGATGTTTTCTTATTCACAGGAAACTTCTGCTTTGCATCTGTTATTCTTTCGCCGCAAAGAAAGGCACTTATTGGTTGTATCAACAATTCCCCAAATTCTTCAGTCAGTGATGATCCACAACTCTGTGGAATCGTTAAATTAATTTCGGTACCTACTTTTGATGTCAAAATAATCACTGAGGGTCTTAACCTTCCTGAAGTAGCCTGGGTTTCCAATATCTGTCCACCTAGATTCCAGCCCTTTCAAGATATTCTAAATTTTTCGAACTGGTGCGCTCTCCAACAAGAGATAATTATATTGACCAAACTGCGGAAAACTCGGCGCCTCGGTGGGATTCGAACCCACGCAGCAAGGGGAAGACTTTAGTACAGTCAACACTCTAACCACTTGAGTTACGAGGCCGTGCCGGACAGCGCGAGTTTAATCACATTTGGGTCAAGTTACCCGCCCAACCTACTGTAACGTCTGGAATCCATCAAATCTGATACAGCTAGTTGACTGCCTAGGCAGGATGTTCTAAGTAATTCACCTAGAATCCACCAGATGACTACCAGGCTTACGTACTTCATAGATGTTTTGGCAGATTTTGAGTAATTCATATTGGCCCAGCTGTAAAAAAACTCGGCGCATCGATGAGATTCGAACCCACGCAGTAAGTGGAAGGCTTTAGATAGATAGATAGATAATTTTTATTAAAGACGCGTCGGGGTCCCATCAAAGCAAGTTAAAATAAATTTGCATGCGAGTTTTAGACGAGGTAGGCCGAATCTTTACAAAATGCAATTCCTAGTTTCTATGTTAGAAGTCCATTGAGAAACATGATGATTGAGGGGTGAAAAAAAACTCCTTAGAAAAAGTAAGAACAGTCAACGCCCTAACCACTTTTGCTACGAGGCCCCGCCGGACGACGCGAGTTTTATCACATTTGGGCCAAGGGAGAATCACCTTTTAGATCTAAACTTTACCAATGACATTGCGCCTATTTTTGTTGCATTCAAAAAGGACCTATTTGACAGCGACCACGTATTAATTCATTGTTCCCTACCGCTTGCATTTTCAGCACCGTTAAGACTTACCCAAACTACGATTTCGTAGATAACGAATTAATAAACAACTATATCACATCTTTGGATTAATGTAGCTTCCTCTCCTGTAGCGATGCAAACATTATTTGTGATGACATGTCAAATGTTTCCAAGGACAACTTAGAATATGTCCCGCGTAGATATCTCAAGCCTAATTCTTCAGATTCCCTTGTTCCTTATTCTCTTCACAACAGACAAAAAATTGAGAGGACAGCTGCGTGATCTATCCACTAGTTCTTTACCCGTTCATCCAAGAATGACAGAGATTCTCGAAATTACCTTCAAGGATGTGCCAAGCGCGCGAAAGGCAAAGAGAATAACCTGCTCTCTGAGATCCGAACCCTGCCAAATCCGTCGCTAACATCACCCGTCCTCGGTCCACCTCTAAGCGTGGTCACGGACTTCCACCCCTGCTAAATGATAACAAAGTCTTCTTCATCAATGACACTGACAAGGCGGAGTTGGTAAGTGCATTCTTTGCAAAGCACCTTAATACTGAGTCCGACCCAGTCCCGTTCTTTCGCCTACTTTGGGATAGGACCCTGAGTACAATCGATGTCTCCTCAGATTTTGTTAAAAAACACACAAGTCGCTTTAAAAACTCACACTTCTCAGGAACGGACGGGATTCCAAATTAGATTATTAAACAAGCATCAGACCTTTCCTATATTGCTTAGTCATTAAATCTTGGATTATGTTTCAAAAGGATTCTTTCCTGAAACATGGAAGGCGTCAAGTATCATCCCTATCTTCAAGTCTGGATCTCGGTACGATGTTTATAACTATCGGAGCGTGCACAAAACATCGGCTCTAGCAAAGCTTCTTTAAAAGTTTATTTTCAATGAAACTGTTGACTTCTGTCTATTTAATCGTCTTCTGAGCTCTAATCGACATGAATTTTTACCTGAACGATCTTAGGAAACTTGCCAAGAGAATTTTAGCCTCCCCCAACACCGACATTTGTCTTACCAAGAACGCTGCCGGCTTACGGGCCTTGATCCTTTATGGTTCCGTAGATTACAAAAGGGACTATTTTTGCTATTTAAACTCTTATATAATCACACATTTAACCCGATCACCTCTTTAAGACATCATATCCACCCACGACGTAACAGTCACCGTGAGGTCTTTTTATTTCTGCCCCAGGCACTTACTTTTAAATATCCTCGGTTCTATTCTGTAAATGCAATTGCTATTTGAAATAAACTACACATGAGCATGAAAACTCTGCAAAATTTTCCTTTATTTAAGAGAACTATTACTCAAATTTTGGGTTCTGAATCCACTGATCGACAGTACCGTAGCGATGGCGTTTGTGGTCTCTGAACACTATGGCCGGTCTCACCAGCTGTTCCTTAACGCCTCTACTTTGACTATCCCCAACTTCATGAAAGGAATTTGACGTCCGATAATCTCCGATACCGTGCAACCTCCTCCCCCCCTTCTTGACGGTCACAAATGTACCGCCAGCAGTTTTTTTTTCTCATGAACCCTCCAAACCATAAAAACCACCATCAACTATATTTTTATTCTTCAGGAGTTTTTTTTCACTGCTGGTCGGATTTGTGTTTAATCGCTTCCCTTGACAATGCCTGTAAACTGGCATTAAATTAAAATTTATTTATTTATTTATATATCGACTTTAAAAAGGCCTTCGATAGTGTGCCTCACCACCGCCTTCTATACAAACTTAGCCGTGCAGGAGTGCGAGGTAAACTTCTGATGTGGATTCGTAACTTTTTAATCGGCCGCTCTCAAGCCGTCCACGTCGGTAACCAACAATCTGCCGAGGTTGCCGTTAAGAGTGGTGTTCCCCAAGGCTCTGCTCTTGGCCCTACGCTGTTCCTCGTATACGTCAATGACTGCGCAAACGAACTGAATTGCGATGTCGCAATGTTTGCCGATGACATAAAGATCTGGATTACCATACGAAGCGAAGTTGACGAGGCGCGACTGCAGACAAGTCTGGACCACCTCGAGCAATGGTCGAAAGACTGGCTTCTACCGTTCAACGTAAACAAGTGTACTTTCCTACGCGTCGGCAGAACCAGTTCTCCTAACCACACCGTCTACCGTCTGACTGGCAAACCACTGCAAGTAGTCGACGCCCAGAAGGACTTGAGTGTATGGATCACAACCTCGCTTAAGCCTTCGCTGCAATGTACAAAGGTGGCCAAGTCGGCGATGTCCATGCTATACCTTGTCAAACGGGCGTTCTCCTCCTTTGATGAAGACTGCTTCACCAAGGTCTTTCAAACTTTTGTGCGACCGCATCTGGAGTTTGCTATCTAAGCATGGCGACCCTGGACCGCTAAAGACTTGGGCATACTCGAAAAAGTTCAACGGCGAGCAACGAAACTTGTATCTGGGCAGTGGTCACTACCCTACGAAACGCGATTAACTAATCTTGACCTCTTTCCTTTGAGCTACAGACAGCATCGTGGGGACCTGATACAAGCTTTCCGCATCGTGCGCAATCAGGGCTGCTGCCTCGCGTTTGGAGAGTTCTTCGAGTTGGCGACTACGACTAACGTGAGAGGCCATCCACTCAAACTGCGTGTGGCTGGTGCCCGGCTAGACACCCGAAAGTTCTTCTTCTATAACAGAGTGGCTACAGCTTGGAATGCCTTGCCTGAGGATGTTGTTATGTCAGGCTCGGTAGATACTTTTAAATGGAAACTAGATCAGCATTGTAGCGCGCACCACAATAACGCCGGACTACAGTCAACTTGACAGCCAACGCTGACAATTCAGTGTTATACCGATGCTACTACCAACATTTAAGTAATATATTATTATGTTATTTATTAAGCTTGGACCACGTCGCACACCGCTGTTCGCATTCATCACGATGCCTGTAGACTAAACAATTTTACTTCCTTTCCCGTGTCTTAAGTGTGCCTCAACTGTCCGCTGTATTGTGATCAACAAAGCAAGTTAATGTGCCTCTAAACTCTGTTAACGCATGACATTCTGTGTTCATCTGTACAGTTTTTGCTATTCCCCTCGCATTTCTTTCATGTTACTTCCTTTCCATTTCCTCCATATATATCCTCTGCATGTAACCAATAGGGATTTCAAAGGTACACACCTACTTTCCCTGAAATATACTGAATACTGATACTGACTTCGATTTAGTTAAGCCATGCTTACGTACAGAGGCCGTTTGATTGTAGCTCTTCACGCACGCTGGCGGAAAATAATAAATGTTTAGTGTGGAGCAGCCATAGCATAATGTCCAACGAACACTGATCAAAGGCTAGTTGTGGACTGAGTATGCATGTATAGATTTCAGTCAGTAAATGACGCACTCAAGTCCTTCATGATTCGAGCACGCGGTCAACAGCAAATCATTCTGACCCCCTAGCTGCCTAACGGCAGCATGGGTATCATTTCTTACTGGTCGGTAAATTAGAGTTGCGGTAATTCCCATTGTAAAATTCAAAAGGCAATTTGGCGAGCATACGTCTACTGTCGAAAAATTCTCGTTAGGCCTCTACATTTATATGACTATTGAGGTAACGAAAATGAGAGTAGATTCCGAGGATCACTAATACCACATTTGCGGAAGTTGCCTTCTAAACCCATCCGAACAAAAAGTGCCTAGATTCGACATTTTGTTTTCTCTCGATTTTTTTTTTCAATGCGATAGAACGGCCAAAAGCGCGACCGGTGTCCGATTTGCCATTAAAAGAACCGTTTTATGTGTAGACAAATAACTACTGGGTAAATTATGTGGAGCCTTTATTCGTTCGCAACTGGATTATGGAATCCAAACGTGGCACTTTTGGCTGAAAGAAGACTATAGGTTTTTGGAAAGAGCTCAGAAGAGGGCAATCGATACTGTGAAAGGCCTAAAGACTTTATCTCACAACTGGAGACCTTAACGGGTGAGAATATCGGGCCAGTCGGAAGACCAAACTGCGTGCTCGCTCCGGGAGCGTGGCATTCAACTTGGGGCTCGATTAGTCGATATCTAGTTTTGCTAGTCGCCTATCAAGCACTCTGTGAACAAATCAGCAGCGCAGCTCGAGGTCATCTACGTCAGACGATCGCAAAATTTTGCTCAAAGCTAGACTATTAGAAAAGCGTGCGATTCGAAAATGCTTTGCGCGAGAACAATTATCATTTCTACACGAGTGCCGAAACAAAAATATTATACCAATTTCTTTGCGCGTAAGACCTTCCGTGAAATCTACGCTAGGATAGCGAATTGCATCTCGTTACGGACAAAGCATGCTTGATGCATTCATAAATTATGCCCACTGCCAACTTCGAAAATTTCAAGTTCCGAGGGAGCAATACATGACATTTCACCGCGATACTCCTCCTCTGGATTTAGTTAATATTCTGAACGTAACAGTCGCCTACGCATCAGAATTCGATCGAGAAAAGAAAAGGAGGATTTTAGACAAAAATGACTGGTAATTTCCCAGACAGCTTATGCAAATCCCTAGTCCTCTGTAAATATCGTGAATCTGTCCTCGAGAGTCTGTAGCGGGCAACCAACGTGACCGGTCTGGTGTCATTGTTCACGACCTCGCTGCTTCAAGGTCATTTGCCCGTTGAGGCGAGCCGTCCCAGACGCGATGATTTGAAGCCACTCGACCGACTTCAGCTTGAAAACACTTGCGTGCTCTCAGTGTCGCGGCTACCTATGCGGCCACTTGAACGCACCTCCCTTTGCAGCCAGCAATTCAATCCTCTGCGACACCATACCTCGGCAAATGCAAAATATACTGGCTGGGCACCACTTGAGCTTGGCCCAGAGCTTACAAATGCGGCTGCCACCACTATCTCAGGTGCTCTCAGACGTTACTGCACGCAGTCAAAATCAGCCCTGGCTTCGCCAGTGGCCACTACCGTCCGAAAGGACAACTTCGGGTTCTGTACACAAGAAACCCCTCATTATGGTGTCTTCCGTCTCCCTACGACTTGGGATTTGACCTGGTGGTTGTAGCGCTCAGAGAACATATTCCGGCCGCCTAGCCTCAACAAGTCCTAGCAAAAACGGAGGAGAATCTGTTTTCCAAAGGAATGAAATGTAATCATTCCGATTCGAACTACTCGGCCTTCCTTGCAATCTTTGAACACATCATATCTGCAGTGGACCTTGCGGAAGGTGAACAACATATAATCCGAAGCTGTACTATACGGGCCTTAAGATTTCGGAATCACCTTTCAGTGCTACCACATGAAAAGAGAAAAGCATTGAAAAATCTCGAAACTAACAAGAACCTTGCCATTCTTCCCACAGACAAAGGAGGCTTAACTGCGATTTTGAGCAAATAAGACTACAATAGGAAGACGGTGGGACTTTTAGAAGATAGCTTAACATATAAGCCTCTTTCTACCGACCCTACGAAGGGACAGAACTCGTCCATTGATAGAGTACTAAAATGCCTCATAGGAATGAAAAAACTCTCAGGGTGTATCATACTCTAAGGGTCTTAATCTTTCCGAACACTAAGCTCTGATAGTCTCCGAAGCACGTGCAGCGACCGGGTTTATCTCCCGAAATTCTAAAATTGACGATATAAGGGTGTGCCTTTATAAAATATACGTTAGACCTGGCGTGGAATACTATTCGTTTTTATTTGGCCTCATGCGTGCTGCTGAGTGGAATAAAATATAAACTGTTCGACATTTTCACCAAGAGAGTTTTTGTCTCGAGAAGCCGGAATTTGACATACCAGTTTTGCGGGTTTACAGGTCTTGATCTCTTGTGGTTTCGCAAATTACAAAAGGTGCTATTTTTACTATTTAAACTTTTAAACAATTGTACTTTCAACACGCTTACTATTTCAAGACATCTTGATCACCTTTGGCATAACAGTCATCGTGGGATTTTTTCTTTCTTCATCTGGCACGTGCCGTTAAACACCGTTAGTTCTTTTCTGCGAACACAATTGTAATTTAGAACACATTACCCAGCAATGAGAAGATTCTGCAAACTTCTTCGTTGTTTAAGAGAACTATTACTTGCTTCTTGCATTCAGAAAAAGTCTCGCAAATTTTATGCGCTGATTCCCTCGATTTTATCTACCGTGGTGATTTAGTTCGTGGTCTCTGATGCCCTTGACCGGTCTCATCCCGTGAGAAATGGTGTTGACTCGACAACCCGCAACAACAGGGACAATTTTTTCAGCCGACAGAGAGCAACTACCCTTCAATGCTTCTGTCTGGCTCAGTCCCCATTTCATAAAAACGGATGGAGACTGAAATTTTTCGATTCAGACTTACCCATAACTATCTGGACTGACTTCATTTCACGGCCAACGGTTTTTCTCCTGATCACTCCAGACTACACAAAAACACCATTCTCTGTATTTACTCCTCAGGAGTCTTCTTAACTTTTACCCCGATCCATACTTTATTTTTCTCTGACTATGCCCTAAACTGGCGTTAAATAAAATTATTATTATTAATACTACTAGCTACTGGCGTGACTCAGTCTGATGAAATGTAAAAAATAAAACAGGGAGGGGCACTTTTCTAATAAATTTAATTTAATAATCTCAGAGGAGGCGATGACAGCCCCATCATGTGGGTTGTGAGGCAAGTTCAAATGACGTCCAAAGATCGCATATTTTTTGCATCAGGGGTAGTCTGCCTAACAGCCCATCTTACATCGTCCTGGGGGAGGGGACAAGTTCAGGTGTCTGCAGGGGCGTGAGCGCGACCGTCGGGGCGCACGTGTATCCGAGCGGATGCCGGTGAAGTGGCAGCAGGCCAGTGCGTCTGGAAATCCCCTCCCCCGTTTTTTGATCAGCAGATGGCGTTGTTAAGAAAGAAATGCGTGTTTTTATACGACACAGGCGTGCTAATTGCATAATTATGAAATTAGGCATTTATAAACCCTCCTCCATGCGCATGCAAGGTTTTGTCAACTTCCCAATGCCATCAGTGCAGTACATTTTGGAGATTAGCGATTAGAAACAACAGAACATTTCCATTTTTATTTATATAGATTATTATTAAAGTCCCTCAACCAATCCGAGCCAACCATCGTCAAGATCTACGAACTGCTCAAAGTTCACAAACCTGAAGGGCCAGTGCGACCAATAGTAACATTGGTGGCTGCACCAAATTACAAGATTTCTAAGTGGCCATTCTACCAACTCCACCCACTTACAAGAGAAAGCAAAAGTCCCAGTTAGAACCCTATGGAGTTTCTAGAGAAATTTAAGAGAATCACAATTTCCGTGGATGAGATAGTGGCCGCCGCAGACGTCCTTTATGTATTCGCATCCATACCGCTAGATGTCGCAAGACAATGAACAAATGAGCTT